CCGATCTGCCCTTTCCCCCCCCCCCCAATAGCTAGCAATCCAAAACAGTCCAGTGGAGACTGAGCGGTGGGTGCTGCCTTCTGAAACACTTCCAGCGATGTCTGGGGGCGTGGCATATGCAAACAAGTTATGCTAATGAGTTATGCTAATGAGCTCCTGCGTCTCTTTTTCTACGAAATGACCCGTGGGAGCCACAGATCTGGAGATCTACACCACCGTCCTGTCCACACTCACTTTGTTCAAAGGATCTGTTTCTGAATAAGAAGCGATCCACATGTGACAAGGTTGGCAGGTTTGTAGAGATGGGAAATATCTAGAGATTTTTCGGGTGGATCCTAGGGAAGGTGGGGTTTGGGGAGGGAGAGACCTCGGTGGGGTATACTGCCACCGACTCTACCTTCCACAGCAGACGCTTTCGGTGGGGTATACTGCCACCGACTCTACCTTCCAAAGCAGCCGTTTTCTCCAGGGGAACTGATCTCTGTATTCTGGACTCTGGAGATCAGATGTAATCCCATGAAATCTCCAGCCACCACCGGAAGGCTGGAAACCCTAATTCTTATGCACCCTGGGAGATATTTATTATTAATATTACTTAGGACGTTTTTATGCTGCCTTTCCACCTGATCAGGGTCCCCAAGCTGGTGCACATAAAAACATTAAAACTTTTGAACAATTAAACACGGCATTTAAAATGATAAAAGAATTCAGTAAGAAACACATATTAAACAATACCAGGGAGGCAGGCCAATAACTGTTACTGGGGGTATGCCCAATGAAGGAAAAAAACTCATCTCCCATTGGTGGAAAACACCAATAGAGGGTAACGGGAGGGATTTCCAAAGTTTTGTTTCCATGACGAAGAAAGTCCAAGAGAGCCAGCTTGGTGTAGTGGTTAAGAGCGCAGACTCTAATCTGGGAGAACCGGGTTTGATTCCCCACTCCTCAACTTGCAGCTGCTGGATGATCTTGGGCAAGCCATAGTTTTGTCAGAGCTGTTCTTGAAAAAGAGCAGTTCCAGTCAGAGCTCTCTCAGCCCCACCTATCTCACAAGGTGTTTGTTGTGGGGAGGGGAAGGGAAAGGAGTTTGTAAGCTGCTCTGAGACTCCAAGTAAAGGGCAGGGTATAAATCCAATCTCCTTCTTCTTCTTTCTTGGGTCGCCATCCATCTAGCTAGAGATGGTGGGGGCAACTAAAACAGGGCCTCCAGAGATGACTAGGTGTCACGGGTCAGGTGGGGTGTCACCTGTCGCTGCCACCACTCTGGATTTAGGATCCCTTGAGAAGGCACAGAGCACCCTCCTTTTGGCCAAATAATAAGCATGAGGACCAGGCAGAGTGAACAATAAAAATAGTTTATTTTATAAGAGGTCAAACAAACAAGGTGCAGAAATATAACAGTAAGTGGGTGAAAAGTAAAGAAACCAAATGCTCTAACGCGTCTAAATATATACTGTCCCTAGCTCACTATTCCAAATGACACTAGACTATTCACCCTTCCCTCAGGATTAGGGTCTCTTCCCCGCAGCAGCCTCAGTCCCTTCTGTCTCCTGGGAAGAAGAACAGCTTTTCCTGCTGCACCAGATCTTTTATTCCAAGCCCTCTTCTTTTCCTATTGGTCAATTTTTGGCTCCAAAACCTCTCAGGGGCTTCTGGGAGTTGTAGGCCCAGCCTCACCTACTGCTAGCCAGGCTCCCTGGGCCTAGTAG